GTAAGTAAGTCGGTTCTAAAACTGTAGGTACCACTCATTGCTATAGCTTTATCATCACAGTACAATGATCTAATAGCATTAATGGATACTCGAGAGGATTCGTCATACTGGAGAGCTTTGAAAAGTGAAATTTTACAAAGTGTAAATAATCTTTCATGATCTAGTTGAGCATTTGACAAGAACTGCTGCAGAGCTACAGCTTCAATGCTAGAAAAGCTGACACTGTTAAGATGTAATGAATGCATAGCATCAAGTACTTGATCATTCTCAAACTGATACAAGTACTGAGAGAGTTGGTTGTGTTTTAAATATGAAAAAACACGAGCATCAGCAAATCTGATACCGCATTTCTCTAAGCCAGATAAAAGTGCTGCTGATGCTTCATGATTGTATGGAGATATATACACAACTCCATCTTGTTTAGCTAGTGCAGTAACACTAGTAGCACCAGTATGCAGTTTAACTGGCACTATACATTTTGATTGAAAATATGACAATTGCTTGTTGTTAAGCCACTGCCAAAAATTAGACATTTGATCACTTGATCAATGGCTCGTATTGCATTTTGATAGTAAATTAGCAACTCGTTCAGTATTTAACAATACAAGCTGAGTGCAACTGCTTTCTACAACTGAACACAGTTGTGTATGCAATATACTGTCTTCAATGTACAAACTCACTAATTGGCTTTCTAAACCAGGCAGTAGGCTGCTAGGATATGATGAACTGCTAACAAAAATATCATCAACAAAAAGTGACTGGTTTTTAAATTGCTGAAAAGTACCATTTGATAATGGCAACAAATCAAGACCAACTACATCACAAAAAGAATCATCTTTTAAAATATACTTTAGAATTTCTAGCTTTTCTTTCCTTGATGCATTGCAGTAAGAAAGCATATTACCCTTTAACTCTGACCTAACTAAGTCAGGTTGAAGTGCTTTGAGACTCTGGTATTGCTTTAATGCTTCACTACAGCTATCATTAATTTCAACTAAATTGACATTGCATTTAATCATAGCATCTTTGACTGCTGAAGGTGCTTCATCAGTTATAAAAACTGCATCGCTAACACTAATCCATCTCCCTCTTGCAGATGAAGTATGTACAGCCTACTACTGCCTACTAGTAACTTGTAATATGGATCCAATATGCCAGACCATGGGGTACCTGTGACTCTTTTGATGTCAGGCCAACAACTGTACACTGTGCTAGAATCAATCAGTAGCTCCATCAGCTCAGAAACCAACTTAAAGTAACACGAAGGAAGACATTTCTCCACTAAATACTTGTTCCAAGTTCCCTCTTCATCTCCTTTCCTTTCTTGTGCTTCCCATTTCAAAGAGCGACGGTTACTACTAATAGCAAATGTTCCATTGACATGAACATGAAAAGGTGCCAGATCTTCAACAGGCAGAGGCAGCACACAGAAAACACGTCCATTTGAAATACATGTAAGATCCTTTAAATTGATAGCTGTGCCAACCCACGGAAGAATGTGCTGCTTCTCTGCCAATTGCATAACATCATTATCATTGCTACCAATCTGATTAACAACTAGCCAGTCATAATTACTGACTGTACCACCATCAACTTTCTCAATATTAAAACGTGATACATCTTTAATAATGTCACGTACGCTATACTGTGATTGACCAGTAAATGCTGATTCGACACGACTGATCAATTGTTTCTGTTGAGATAATCGCGACTGATAATCTCTCTCACTCACACTGACTTTAAATAGTGATAATGTATCATTGCTCTCAGTGATTTTACAAATTTCAATTGAGCAAACTGATCTAAGGAAAACTAATAAATACTGGGCTTCTTCTTTTAAAGTATGAATCAGGCTAAGAATCTTATCAATAGTGTAAAAATCACTTGAAAGCATTGATTCTTTGGTACGCAATGGAAACCTGAACAAGGTCTTATCCTGGTAGCTTGGATTATCCTTTGAAAAACCACAAATCCCATCAAATGGTTCCAGTGCTTCTTGACAATAACTTTTCAACTTTTCTAGGTTAAACCCTCTACCTGATCCTCCCTTCCATACTCTTTCCTGTGGATCCAAGAATCCACAATAGTTTTGACTCAGAATAACTGGTAAGTCTAAAAATACAAATGAAATCATTATTCACACAAATGCAATCTATGAATATTATTACACACTTCATTACACAATAATAATTCTCAGTAAAAGTAATTGTAGAAGCAAGAGTACCGTACTAATGGGTTATTAAGCATAGGCACTTATGCAGAAAATGACAGAAAAATGGGTGCTTAATGATTACTCAGCGCTTAATAAATACAGTAGGTGTGGTTTACAATAATAATTAATTAATCACTTTACTGGCTTTATAATGGCGGGTGGTAAAGAATACTCTTTTGACAGTCTGGTTCGTGGCCACAACGCTAATAAAAAGTGTCTGGACTCCTACTGCTTGAACTCCTACTGCTTGGACTCCTACTGTTTTGTACTGCGCTTAACAAACCCATGCTAAGAGCTACATTGAGCCAGACGCCTAATAAGAACTAGAAGCTTAACAACGAAGGGCGCTTAATAATCCAAAGGGCGCTTAATAATCTGTTAGTACGGTAGGTTATCTACTCTTGCCAGATGGTGTTAGCAAAAGCAGCATATCAATAACCCCATCTTACCAGTAATATGATACACAGAATTAAATCCAACTCCAAACTTTCCAATTTTGTGTGGGTTCTTGGCTTTACCACTCTGCTGAAAGCTCTGTATGCTCTCCCAGTCTTGTTTCCTGAAAGGAGCATTGTTATAGGAAATGAGAGCAGATCCAGTGAATTCTTGTAACAGTAGCTGCTGCTCAGAGTCACTACTATCACTAGCAGCTGATATAAGTGAGAGTGGGAGGGTTTGTAGGACACGACAATCCAAATAGAATTTGACTTCAGTGGCCCGAGCATCATCAGCATTTTGTATTATTTCCTAAAGAAGAGAATCAATGAAGAAGACATACAAAAAATGATTGTATATGTCACTTTCTACAATGGCATAAGAAATTGTATACAATAATAAAATTTATTAGTTGTTCCAAGTCAAAAATATTGCTCTCATAACTACATAAAATTGCACAGACCTTGCAAACTAATTCATAAATCAATCTATGAACTTCAAAGGGGACTATCTAAATTGAGGTGTGTCTTGCATTGTGTGGTCACATCACCACCTACCAAGGTCCAAGCAAATAGCTGTATCATGCTCACCAGTGGTACTATGTAAGGACATGTCCACAGGAAATTTGTTGCACGAGCTAAGACTTTATTATAATATCAAAATAATAACTTTTTTACTTTAATTTGGCGATGCTTTATTTTTGCAATATGACAGGGTATAGAACGTACTGCAATTGTATGTACATGTAGCTACATAACTTATACCATTTAAATAATAATATGAATATTGCTGAGTTGCTTCTGTAGGTAAGCTACTTGTCCCAAATGAGTATCTGAGCAAAACATTAAAAAATGGGAGCGGTAGTAACATAATGATCAGTGACATATACATAAGATCAGATTTCAACAAAAGGATAAGGGAGTAAGCAGTAACAAACATACATAAAGTAAAGGAACAGTGATGAGAGGTAACAAAGGCAACAGGGGAACCAAGGGTATGGAGGGCTAAAATTAGTGGGAGTTAAATTTGGCGATTTGTTAAAAATAATGTAAACAGCAAACTTTATATTAGTGATTTTGCAGCCACATGCAATTGAGCATGCTCAGAATGAAGACTTAATATTGGAGGGTCAGGATGCTCACTGTAATCACCAATTCATCAATTAATTAATACTATTTTTCCCACCAAAGACATTTCCACGATAATTTTATTGCACTTATATTATTACTGCAAAACAAAAATGCAAATATAACATAAATAAAACACAAAAACTCGTTTGAAAATTTCAGTGTACCTTAAATATCTGACCACTTGGATAGTCCTGAAGAATCTTTTTAATCATCTGGTACAAGGGAGGAACTCTTTGACCAAAATCTTCCCCTCTCAACTCCAGACTAGATCCAGTGTTCCGGCGCTTGTTACTTGAATTTTCACTGCCATCAAAGCAAGTTCGCTTCATGTTGCGAGCATGTATCTGGGCAAAAAGAAAAGAAGAGTGAGTTCTGACCGAGGCGGTTCTGACTCTTCGAGTTAGCTTCGAAGCCTTCGACCACGCCTTTAGTTTTAACACGTCACGCTGCCTGACTGTCTCGATCTAATGAGGTCAGTATTAACATAGGAACTTGAGTTTGAATAATAATAATTATACATCCATGGTTTAAAGCAATTAAAAGCCTTGATTGTTTTGACTTATAGTGAGTTCTTAGTATAAATTATGATGCATTGCTTTAAATTTTTGTGCTAGCATTGCAACTAGAAGTGCTACACAAGTGCAATGTTTTACTTTATAGACTTATCTTCTCTAATTTAAGAAATAGCTGTGGTAGAAATAAAAATTAATCCTAATAGATCTAGCATGTATCAATACAGACATTGCATGTGCATTGAAATTTTTGTGTACCTGTATTACTTATACTTATATTAAAAAAAAAACAGATTATGTATGTACTTGTATGCATTGGAAAATTTTTGTGTGCAGACATTATTCACTTTTTGCTTCCCAAATTCATCTGTATTTGGAGGTTTTGCATTCATTACTATTATTTATTTTAGTCAATGTTTTTAATGGCTTCAAAATTACGCCAAATTTTTATTACATTTTCTGATACATATTAATTTATGTCCTTATGCTATGTAGAAAATTTGAGCTGATTGAAGTCATGAAGTCATGCACACTCAGAAACAAATTTAGGCCATTAGACATTGTTATTTTTTGATAGTGTAAATTTTTAGAGTTTAATAATTATCAAGAAGCAGTTACTATTGACAATTTGTACAAACATTCTCATTGTGAATAGTCTATGTACAGCATAGGGGTAGGAACAGGGGGGGGCAGGAGGGGCTTAAGTCCCCCCAACTTTCATTGAAGGGGGGCTTAGCCCCTCCAACTTTAAGTGATATACATGCATTACTATTATCAACACTATAGGCTTTAGTTTAGGTAATCCTTATATATGTGTGCATGTGATGATTTGTTTCATAAAACAATTGATACACTAGCTTAACTTTTAAGAACATGCACTCTTATTAGTTTTTTCAGAAATACACAAGCTTCTACTTTTTTATTTAACAACTCTGTTAACATTAGCTTCAGCTGAGCATAGATTTTCGACGTTAAGGAGATTAAAAAACTACTTGCGCTCCACAATGTCACAAGAGCGTCTTAATCATGCAGTTATTTTGCATACACACAAAAAATTTACTGATAATTTACACATTGAGGACATTGCAAAGGAATTCGTTACATTTAATGAGCATAGACGCCAATATTTTGGACAATATTAATTCAGTACATACTATGTATTAATGATCAATTGTTAAATCATGCTCCTATGATTGTAAATAAATAATACCTTAGCCCCGGCCCCCACCTAAAATTTTAGTTTGTTCCTACCCCTATGATGTACAGTGTCCACATAATGTTGAGCTACTGTAACTTTATAAAACAAATGGCATGCATGTACACATACATAATATAGTTATTATTTTAGGGTATCATTCCATTTGGCATGGGCAAACAATTGATTGCATTCTATATACAGTGACTTATCCATGCAACAAGTATGCTCCACTTATTATCTAGTCTTGTATTATGATTTGTACCCATTACATAAACAAGTGGAAGTGTGATGGCTCAGAGACCTCTTACTTTCAAGAGTTAAGCTGCGGCATTGTGCAAGTGGATGAGTCAATAGTCAACCTCTCTAATTAGTGTTTTGATTATTATGTAGAGAGCATTTTCCAGAGAATGGCATATTGAGGTAAGTTTTTCTGCTTTCTGTGATGCATTAAGAGCTTTATTAATAACACGTATATACAAATATAGACCTATGCATTAATTTCTAATTCAATTATATAACATTAAACATTGTTAGTTTTTATTTTCTAGTAATTATTGACCTTCCTAGTTCCATTAAATTTTTAATTAACTTTTTTCCCATTTATAGCAACTCAATAGCTTTTAGTCAAACTTTAACTATTAACTTCAGGGAAGTATCACTGTATCTGATAATTAAAAGGATTAGCATCGTGAAGCACCATAAAAAAGAACAAAAAAAATTATCACCAACAACTAGTGGATCTTGTCCTTCAATGATTGAAATAATCTTAGATTTTAAATCTATTAATCAGCTTTATTTTGCATAAAGTTATAATATAATGAAAAAGTGGCAATAATCATGAAAAGACAATTGAAAATGGTATCATCATAAGTTCATAACTTGTGCATCTGTAACAATCATTACTTGTGATTATGAATTTTTTGAATGGTTGATTTTAAACTATGTCCCATTAAATTTATTATTATTGTTACTAACTAACTTGCTATGATTACTATTTGCATAGTTTATAGGCTGTGTTAGAGTTTTTCACTCTGCTTTATTTGATTCATAATGTATTCAGAATATTAATTTTCAATTAAGTAAGTGTAAACACAGAAGAAAACAACAATTAAGTTGTAAAACAGCATAGAGCTACCTACTAAAGTACATGTATATGTGTAACTATAATAATGTCTCTGTCTGTGTGTCAATGAGATCTAATCACTCTTGTTGAACATACCATAAGACTTGGTAAAATCTGGTAGTAATCGTTGTGGTAGTTCATCATTATCATCATCATTGGTATTATGACCACTTGGGCTTATTATGGCATTGAACTTAATTTGAATGCAATGCTTTCTACAACAAGTGTACCATCCAATGTAACACAATAAGTAAGCAAGAGGGAGGGACATCAAAACAACTTCAAAGACTGCTACCAGTGTGGTTGTACTGTTATTAGTGTTCAGTGGTGCTATCTGCAGTGTATTAATGAGGATGAGATCAATAAGAAGGAATGAATTCATGTGATTGTGGAATATCTCCTGAAAAGGTGCACACAAGCAATGCAGGAATAAGATGCAGAGAATGAGTAGTTCTTTTGTCATGATGTTCCAAAATTTTCCATCCGAAAAATAAATTGGTATAAGAACCGGTAAGATGCGATATAGAAAGAATAAACCAGCAAAGCATCTACAGTTATCCTTGAAACAACCTTGAAATGAATCTAAGAATGGTTTTAGTTTCATTCTTAATCTGTGAAGAGTGTAAGTAACAACATTCCTCCTAATGTTCAATACACCACTCACTCTTACCATTAGAGGCTCTGATAATAGAATAATAGGAGGAGGTAGTATGATAACCATTAGACAAATGAGAGCTGGTGTAACATATTTAAGATGATTGTGAGACAAGTAGGACATGTCTCCATTGTATAAAGGAACCGTTTTCAATGTTACCTCATGATCACCTTTCACATATGAAGGGAATAGAATATAAAGTGTAATTATCAAGCAGCGAAAGTAGCAGAGAACTAAGAAAGCAGTTAGGGCATTAACAATGGAACCTCTTATATTCTTACGTCCACATTTATGACAGAGTTTGATGCAACAGTGAAATGAATGGAATTTGAGTAAAAGTATGGTAATGATGATCAATAGAAAAGCATACAGTGTGGTAAGATACTTTATCATCATCAAGTCCATGATTGTGGCATCCTTAAACAAACAAAATGACAACTGGTCAATCTCAAATGTTTCCAAATCAAAAATACCATAAATCATTTTAAAAGCATGGAAAAAATATACCAGTGGGCCACTGTATGACTGGTATACTGTATTACGATAGTGATTGTTAACAACCTGTGAATAGAATATAAATGAGTACAGTGCGCCTGATGTGAGGTTAATATTAAAGAAAAGGATTACTAGAAATATACCAGTAACTGGTATAATCTCAGAGATTATGTATAACAATGGTCCATACTGACAGTGTGTAGACTCACCACAATGATAGCTAGGAGAGTGAAGGTAAGTGGTGTAACCCGTGATACAACTACCACACAATACACCATTCCTATGAGGACCACAAACATGATCATTTAAGAGACTGTAATTCAATGGAAGGACATGGTCTTCATGTCTGTTACCTTTAGAATTATGATAATTGCATAGACTTGTCACACAATCTGCAGTTGCAAATTTCTCTTTTATATATCCAGCCCAAAGTCCTCCATCAATGACTGCTGCATTATCTTCTAAACGACCTGATATTCCATAATAGTAGTTACTTTTACAATGACATGTATCAATTTGAAATATATATCCTGGAGGGCAATGATATAGTGTGATATTGATCAGTTTCCTAGCACTGTACTCAGTTGTCTGTAGTAGTAGAGTAGCTGTATCCCCTACTGTTCCTTTAAAGACTATTATGTAACTGTTTGCAATGGAGTAGGTTATATCAATCTTCAATGATGAACTGTGTACATTTTGTAGAGTTGCTGACAATGGGAACAACTGTAAGTTTGTTATAGTGTTATCAAACTCATCCATTTGTGTAATAGTCATGTTATATGGTATTCCAGGATAAGGACTTAGCTCTTCCTCATCAATTATCGATAGTTTAACTGGTGCAGTAGCAACTGGAGGTGGTGTGGGTGATGAAAATTCGAATTTGCCCATTTTGCTAGATGTAAATATAGTTGAAACATTTCCACCATACAATTGAATGCAATCTTGAAATGTTGAGGCAAAAATATCACGGCCAAATTTACTGGTGGCATTGTTGTTGGTAAAATGGAATGTAACATTATCATGAGGTTGAAAAATGAAGCATGTTCCTTCATGTAAATTTATCGATGATTGAATATATATTGCACCACCAATGAGAGCTCTATTATTTGAAATATTTATAAAAGATAAACCACCTTCTAAAAATGTCATTACTGAATCTTCTGCTAAAAATATAGCACCTCCTCGATCCCCAGTATTGTTAGAAAAATTGATACGGGCATGATATGAAATATGTAGACGACTATTTACAGCATATAAAGCAGTGCCAGAGTTATTGATGAATGAAATTTTTGAAAACAAATCAACAAAAGCATCAGCAGCATATAATGTTGCTTTAAACAGTTTACCATTAAGTTCCTGTTGATTGATATCTATTCCTGCTATATTTTCAATGAAATAACAACGTTCAAATTTTATAACAGTTTCAAGACACTTATAAATTTTTTGACGTCTACCACTGACATCTACTGCCGAGCTAACTACAGCTTTGTTGCCAGTGAAATAACAAAATTCAAAATGAAATTCTTTTTCCTTAACATCACCAGGGGCCAAATGAACTATTTGAATTGCGATTCCTCCACCAAACTTTGCCATGTTATTGGTAATATTACAACTGATCAGAGCAACAACAAATTCAAGTGGCATAGTAGTGCTATTGTAACTACATTTGGTTTTATGCACTATAAACCCAATGGCTCCTCCAGCAGTACCAGCTCTATTACCAATGAAATTAGAAAAGGTGATGCACAAAAGTAAGTTTGCACAATGATCCACCTCCATATACAATGCACCACCCATTGTTGTAGCAGAATTATTAACAAACTGATTACTGGCAATTGAAATTATATTAGTAGACATAGAACTATTATAAAGATTATATTGAAGTATGTGTAAGCCTCCTCCTGTTGCATTTAATTCTTCAGCTCTGTAATGTTTTATACCATTGTTTATAAATAAATTATGCATTACACTTCCACTGCTGCTTTCATAGAGTACCAGCCCATAACCATTATTGTCACTAAAATTGACTTTTGCAACATTAAAATTTTTACAATTATAGAAGAGGACACTTTGACGCCCATAGTATTTTTGATCCTTTTTATAAAGCAACCCACAGTGTTCAATAGTAAAACCAATGAGTGCAACAATACTGCACTTATTAAAAACAATGCCAGAATTACCATAGAGCATTGATGCATAGCTGCAGTTAATGATAGTACCTTGTCCATTGATAGTTAGTCCATTAATATCAGTAAATATAACACTACCTTGTAGACTAAGAGTAGGACTGATGATCTCTATTGTGAGGTTGCCAGTGTTGTTAATAGTATCAGCTACATACTTCAATGACTGACAGGAATACTGAGGCTGCTCTGTAAGACACTCAATGGAATCAATTCCATTATTTCCATCAATCCTGATATTAAAAGATGATACACTATGAACAAAAATACATAGCAGGAGAATAATCATGATGAACTTGGCAGTGAACTCAACATATTAAATTTTTACTAAATAAAGAAAGGTTTACTTTCATAAACAGTTGCCACAAAAAGTAGTTTCACTATATTAGTTACAACATCATGGCAATCATAACACTGAATATAGATAAAATAACTTCACAGTTTCTTTATGTAATGTAAATAGCAACAATGCATTACCCCATACATGACATTGCGAATTTTCTGTTATTTTTATAAAATAGAGTACATAGATCATCAGACATTGCTATTTTTTGATAGTGTAGATTTCTTGAAGTTTAATAATTATCAAAAAGTAGTTACTACTGACTATTCCATTATTACAAACATTATCTACATACCATATATATAGCCCGAATTTTTGTTATTCTAAAGTTTTGTCAAAATTCAAATTTCTTGTTAAAATTAATTTTTGTCAATAAAATTTTCGTCATTTTTGTTATTGATCTGTACACTATACCCACATGGAACGAAAATTTCATCAGTTAATATTTATCAAGCAAAAAACCTGAAAAATTTGAAAAAAAATTTGACTGGCAAAATTTGGAGCTTCTATGGTATGCTGAACTACTGTAACACTACATAGAAATTAGCATACATGCACGTGTACATGATATAGTTATTATTTTAGGGTATCATTCCATTTGGTGTGGGCAATCAAACCAAGCAACATTATGCTCAACTTATAATTGTATACCCATTACATAAACAAAGTGCAGTGTGATTGCTGATGGCTCACTGGCTCAGAGACCTCTTACTTTCAATAGTGAAGCTGCAGCATTGTGCAGGAGCATGACAGCATGAGTCAATGGTCAGCCTCTTTAATTATATATACTAGGGCCACTTTGACTTTTAAATCTGCATAATGTAATAACTTTCTTATTTTAAATGCTACAGACAGCGGTTTTTTTTGCATTATGATCCTCTCCAAAACCCCGGTATTTTGATATATGATACAACTAGAGCGCAGTTATAGAAAAGGAGAAGTAAAATCAAAGCACATGGACACTTGAAGAGCACTTGACGCCATTACTACCACCCACGTGCGGTTATCGCGTAGGCGGATAAAATAAAATGGCCGCTGCAGCAAGAAGTGAGAAACAGACTTTGAACAATGTACTGGACTCAAAGGAAAGGCTAAATACAATTATAGGTAAAGTATAAAGCTGTCTTAACTTCATACATATACAAAGGTAAGGAGAAGAACTGCATAATTGTGCAGCAAATACTAAGATAGGTAGCCATACCTTTTTTACATTGTCTAAGCCTTTATGCTATGCTTTTGAAGGTAGGATTTGTATATATGCCTCC